CATTTGTGATTTTAATCCAGAACTTCTTTAATATGATCCAACATTTGTCTTAGGTCACCTTTTAATACTGTAATATTAACAATGTGGATACTCCAGCATGGCAGTGGGGAGCACAGGCTACTGGCTGCATGGAGCTGGAAGAGCATCCTGCCCTCCCATCCTGGGACACGGACTCGGTGAAGAGGATGCATCCAACCCTGACACAGCACAAGGGCTGGGTCTGCCCCAGAAACACCATGGGGTGCACCAATGCTAGGTGCACCAATACAGTAAGCAAAAGAGTCTCACACACATGTCCAGTCCTGGCCCCCAATCCTAGGTGTGGGGCAAGGAGGCTCAGCCCAGCAGGATCCAAGTGTGGACGGTTTAGTGTAGGGGATCCAGGTGTGGAGTGAGAGGGTTCTCTGTGGGGCAATCTGGGTGTGGGCAGCTCAGTGCGGGGACCAGGTGCATGAGAGATCTGGATGCACAGGAGCTCATTGAGAGGTTCCAGGTGCAGGGGGAATGGTACTCTGCAGAGGGGTCCAGGTGAAGGTGGTTGGGGCTCAGCAGGGGCGGTCTGGGAGATGGGGCTCAGCGGGGAGTCTGGGTGCAGAGGGGTTTCCGGATGCAGGGGGTGAGGCTTGGTGGGGTGGGGATTCAGGAGTGGGGACTCAGTCGTGGGGAGGTTCTAGGTGCCGTGGGGTATGAGGCCCAGCGGGGGGGGCTCTGAGTATGGGGCGGTCCAGATGCACGGGGGTTGGGCAGACAGGGGAGCAACTTCCCATACAGTGACCCTTCCCTCCGTGGCTGAGGAGCAATGGCTGCAGGAAGCGGGGGAGGGTGCAGAGCAGAGGTGATTTCTGTGGGGGTGTCTGACTCAGCCCTGGCTGCTCCTTGCGGGAAAGAGCAAGTCTTGTCCTCCTCAGCTGAGCCTAGTGCAGGGTAGAAGCCACTGGCCAAGGCATCGCCACTCCACCCCGCTCCCCCACCAGACAATTTACCTCTCCACTAGCTGCTCCAGGTGCCTGAAATTACATGCCTACGCTGCTGGAGAGGGGTGCATGACTGCTCTTGCGGCTTCCCTTTCCTTCCTCGTCATTTTATGTGGGAAAGCAAAGAAATCTGTGGGGGACATGAACTCTGCATGCATGCAGTGGTGGTGAATTCTGCATCCATGCAGTGGAATTTCCCCAGGAGCAATTCTTATGGTCCTGTGGAAAACAAGGTAATTAAGGTGAAGTTTCCTCTCAAAAACTAAGGCCTGGTCTACATTAAAAGTTAGTTCAACCAAGTTGTGCACTTGTCTACATCAAAGTTTGTCTCCTGTTGATGTAAGTGACCCATTATAGCAACACAATACATCAGCTCCCTGAGCGATCCAGAGCCATGGTCACCCTACTAAGGTTGATGCAGTGCAAGTATAGACACTGTATTACGTGTGTCGACCCTAACTGTCCTACAGCAGCTGTCCCACAAGGTTCCCGTTGGGTGCATTTATTCCATCTCCAAACCCGAATTACAGGCACTTTAGAGCAGTGGCTTTCAACCTTTCCAGACTACTGTACCCCTCTCAGGAGTCTGATTTGTCCTGCATACCCCCAAGTTTCACCTCACTTAAAAACTAATTGTATACAAAATCAGACATAATAATACAAAAGTCACAGCACACTATTACTGAAAAAGTGCTCACTTTCTCATTTTTATCATATAATTATAAAATAAATCAATTGGAATATAAATATTGTACTTAAATTTCAGGGTAGACTATATAGACCAGTATAAACAAGTCGTATGAAACTTTGCTGTGGCATGGGACCCCAGGCATTTGCCCCATTTGTTCCCTCTAATGCTGGCCCTGTCTTTTGCATGCAGAAAACCAGTTATTGTGGCACAGGTAGGCCATGGAGTTTTTAAGAGCATGTTGGGGTATCGTCAGAAAGAACAGGTTGAGAACCCCTGGTGTAAATCATTACTTCTACCACTCCGTGCTGGACAACTAGGAAAACAATAGCTACACACACGCTGACCTGTGAAAACCACACGTCAGTGTATATGTAGCCACATCCTACATTACTGTAGGTTTTAGATACACGGACAAAAATGTTTGCTAGTTATTTCCATATGTAGTTGGCATTATAAAACATGGCTCACCATGTTACAATGTCGATAAAAGTTTTCTAACCCTGTGTGTTTGTTTGCAGTTCAATGTAGTTGCCTGTTTCTGTGCACACAATAAAGTTCTATTTCTGGAAAATGAGAACATCTTTTATTGCTTTTCATCGAGCATCACAAAATATATAGTGAGGGAGGTATGGATCCACCCATATTTAATCTCAGTAAGTACACACGTGAGACACTATTTCATATAAGCACCAGACAATGCTACTGTGGCTGACTGTTAAGATGTTTTTTAAGGCCTCTGTCAGCCACATAGCTCCACGGTTGGCTCTTCTAATAACCCTTGTGTCTGGCTATTCAAAGTCAACAAACAGTCAGTCCACCTGGCTCCCTGGTGGGAAATTTTTCTCCTTCGCCTCACAGATATTCGCAGTACACAAGCAGCTATAACCCTGAGAGTATTTTTCTTGATGAGAGCCAATCTAGTGAGTAAAACACCAACAGTGTCCCTTCAATCTACCAAAAGCACATTCAACAATCATTCTGCACCTGCTGAGCTAGCAGTTGAATCTTTCCTTGATTCTACCAGTGTATGGCTTCCTGAGAAGTAAGGGGTAGTATGGGTCCCCCAGGATCACTACTGGCATTTCAATATCTATTGCCCCAAATCAGCAATGGGAACCCCATTGCTGCCAAGCCATCCATGATGTCTTATATATAAGAGAGAGTTGGAGTTCTATGTAGGAGGAGACACTTGGATGGCAATGGCCCCTACTGTGGATTTTCCACCTCCAAAATGATTGCCCAATAACCAATAGCAACCCAGCACTGCACACTCCCAGGGCATGATCGCCACTCGCTTCTCTGCTGTCAGAGTCTCTCTCATTTTGGTATCCCTGAGCTCAGCACACAGGTCCAGAAACGTAGCCTTTTCCGTCTGAAAGTTCTGCTCATCATTCCAAACCTGCATTACAATGTGATCCCACCAAACAATGCTTGTTTCTCCAGCTCAGAAGCAGTGATCCACCATGTCGACTGCCCTGTGAAAGCCAGCAGCAACCTGGCATATTTTTTCACTATGATCATCAGCGTCCAGTTATTGTGCTTGAACATCTCTGCATCTTCCACATTGCAATCCCAGTTATAGTAGTACTTGTTCAAGCACTGCAAATAGTGGGAATTGTGCTTCCTGTATTTGCAACTCTCCTAATACTTGTGCTGAACTCTGCAGGGGTCCATGCATCCGTCAGAGAGACGGCAGACACAGAAAAGCACTGCATAGGACTGTGGGAGTTTTTTTAAAAGGTGTTAAAATTATGGGATGTGGAAAGTATTATGGGATGAAGAAAGTGGGCATGGCGGGAACTTGATCTCTAGGTTCCAGAAATCTCTGGGTGATTTGCTTGTATCCCACAAAACACTGAAAATGTTCCACAAGGTTATGAGCCGGACAACAGTATGGGGCACATCGAGACACCTGTCTGTGATGAACCACATTTTTACATCAATGCACCACTCCTGGTGAGTATGCAGCGTGCCCACGCAAGCATCTAAATGTGCATGTGCTCAAGCAATATACAAACTTTGGCACCTGCACATGGAAGTAATTTGCATTGACCAAGCTTTGTAGTGGAGACAGCTAAAGTAGATGATTTCCATTTACTTACCAGGTAGTTATAATGTAATAAATTAGGGTAACGTTTCTCTGTGTTCCTCAGTTATAAATCCATTGAAGTCAATGAATTTACTCTAGATTTACAATTGTGTAATGTTAACACTGAAGTCAATAGATTTATTCCGGAGTTAAACCTATTTAACTGGAGGCAGATTTGAGGCTTCATGGGAACAGTCATGCTTACTGTGCAAGAGCCTATACCTCTAAGCAGGCAAGCTACAAAGCACCTCCCTGAAGGATTGTAATTGCCCTTAATTCCCATTGACTTCAACAGGATTTGAGGCCACTCAGCACTTTGTGGGATCAAGCCTTAAATAAGTACCGATAGCTATGGCACTCGTAGTGGTATAAATCTGAGGTATTTATGTAACATAACAGTGACTAGTAAAGGCATTAACACATGTACTAATAAGGCTATTTTTGTTTATCGAATATCCAGAATGATCTCTAACTAACACTTAATTAAGGTCAGGGTATCAACAAAGTGTCCTTATGCATGTAATAAGACTATGAAGGGACAAAGAAAGAGAAGGAAGAAACAAGAGTTAAAACAATTAAAAATAATGAGATTAGCATTACATAGTGATAGGGGACCAGATGTCCCGTTTTTAAAGGGACAGTCCCGTATTTAAGCCCTCCAGCAGGTGTCCCAACTTCTTTTTAAAAACGGGCAAATTGTCCCATATTTTCTGTCTCCCCCACATCAGAACTGGAGGGTCCTGCTGCTGGCCGGATCCCTGCTTGCCCACCAGCAGTGAAGGGGGGTCCAGTGGCCAATGATAGGGGTGAGTGTGCAAGGCTGGTGGTGGGGCAGAGCTGCAGCATGCAGGGCCAGCTACTCCCCCTGCTGGTCTGTCAGCACAGCCCCCACTGTGTGCTGGCTTTTGGCCATCAGGGCCCCACCTCCCGTCCCATTTCTGGCCGGTGCTGGCTGCATGCTGCGGTGGCTGGTAGTGCGGGCAGATACCAAGTGGTGGCCAGTTACATGTCGCCTCTGCTGCCCACCCATCGGCCCTTTACATGCTCCCCCTCTCGCTGTTCTCTCCCTGCTTTGCCCCTTCACACACACACCCAGCCCCGCTGCTTCTTCATATCCCACCCGGCAGGGCACATCCCGCTCCCAGCGCTGTGTGGAGAACCAGCCCCAGTCGGAGCGCTCAGCTCACCAACAGCCTGGTCGGCAGCCTCCTTCCTTCCCCTGTGGCGGTTCAGTGATGAGACAGAACACAGCTTTATGCAAGCAAGCAGGCTGGTCAGCGGAGATGGGCTGTTCTGCCCCCCCGCCTTCCACCTTCTCCTTTTATTATATTTCTCCCCCTAAGCATTACACACTGCTACCCAAAGGAATGTATGACGTTGATTAATATACTTAGTTACCATCCTTTATCTACTACAATCCTGGTTCTCAGGCCTTGAGCCCAGGCTAAGAAAGCCTTCCACAGTTGCTGTCCAAACAATCAAGTTCTCATGGTTCATATCTAGCCCTTGTCCTTGGATAGAGCAATGTGTGCATTGCTTCTACAAAACAGTCAGGGTGTGCCCTGCCTGCTTCCAGGTGGAATAGCTAAACATGACCTCTTCATCTCCCCGTTTTTTATTTAATGATATTTGACCATCTCATGGTAGCTGTCAATTTGTTTTGTCATGCTATTTAACTCCCAGACAGACAAGGACATAACCTGGGGAGCTTTCCAGGGCAAAATTTTACAAAATCTTAACAAGGAAGGAATACATTGTACACAGCAGCAGCAAAAAAATAAGCCCAATGATTACAAACACAAAATAACCACAAAGCTCAACATCTGCAATATAATCATCTAAAAAGGGTACACTTCTTTTACTACAATTGTAACCAGCAAAAGGCAATATAAGTATCATTCTACTAAAACAGCAAAGGGTGCCATCACTTAAATTTGCAGGAATATAATTAAAGGTGCGTGAACCGCAAGTAAAAAACCATCCTGATGGTAGGATGATATGGCCATAATTATATGAAACATTAACAGCATGGGAACAATTTAAAAGGGGTTGAGAAATTTTTCGACAGCCCAAGGGCACCTTTGTACTAGTGCAGTTAACTACACGCGCACAGGTGACATTGTGAGCCCCGGCCGGGTACGGTGTGTGGAGGGATATAGCCGTGCGAGGCAGAGTATAATTGGCCGGGCCCCAATTAGCCATGCTAGAGTACTGGGAGGAAAGATTAGCATAAGCAGAGAACAGTGTCTTATTCTCCATCTCCTCAGGGTGATGACATACTGGAATAAGGCATGTACCTAACAAATCTCCGGCTGCTACAGAATTAGATAAACAAAAGTGGGTAACATTTGCTATTGAAGCCAATCTTTCCCATATGTTATATGTCATTCGGGCTTGTAACGGGGGAGGCGCTTCCGAGCCAACCCCTACAGGAAATAGGCACAAAAGGCACACAATCATCACAGAATTAGCAGTGATTTGGGCGAGAATCGCCACAAACAAAGTCTCAGGAGTCTCTGGCTGTTGATCTGCTGCCAGTCTTCGTTGAGCTGCGGCGACCAATGCTTTTACTGCTCCCCATGTCATGGGCTGGCTTGGGACGCTACGCCTCCTCCGTTTCCGTCCCGTCGTTGTCGACTCGGGGGGCAACGCGGTCTCCTCCAAGGTCAGCTGAAACTCTGGTATGGGATTCGACAGCCCCTGGTGCCATGCCATGTTGTTTAAGTGCCGGTCGCACACACCGAGCTGGAACCCACGACGGTCCTGCAGGGAGAGACACAGCAGCATATCCCCGACCCCAAGTGATTAGAGGTACTGGGCCCAGCCACTGTGGATCGGGCAGCTGACGGTAAAAGACACGCGGTCTTTCCAGTACCTCAGATTTGTGAAAATGCCGATCCGCAGGGGTCTGCTGATCTGCGTTCAGTGTTAAATTATTTAAAGTAAACAAGAGGATATGCATTTGTTGTTAAATGTCTCCTAAGGTTCGGAGACGCAGCTCCCCTTGTTTTAATTGTTTATCTAGCAAGGTTTTGAGTGTGCGATTGGCATGTTCAACAATGGCTTGGCCCGTGGAATTATAAGGGATTCCGTGTGTAAGACGGACGTCCCAGCGGGCACAAAAGGTGGAGAGGGCTGCAGAGCAGTAGGCTGGGGCATTATCTGTTTTAATTTGGCAGGGGCGACCCATAACAAAAAGGCAGGCCAGCAAATGGTGAATAACTTTGTTAGTGTCTTCCCCACGTTGTGGGGTTGCCCAAAGAAAGCCTGAATAAGTATCAACGGAAACATGTAAAAACAAATAGGGGCGGAATTGTGGCACATGAGTAACATCCATCTGCCACAGCTGATTTGCTGCGGTACCTCGGGGGTTAACGGCATAAGAAAAAGTAGGAGCAGCAGCAGCACAGTGGGGGCAGGAACAAACAATGGAACGTGCATAATCAGCAGGAATGTGAAACTGCCGGGCCAAAACAAAGGCAGACTGCTGAAAAAAGGCATGGCTTTCAATGGGGTCAGAAAAAAGGGAATTTACCTGACCACGCAAAGCGCGATCGGCGCGTGCATTGCCCTCAGTGAGTGGCCCAGGCAGAGGGGTATGACTGCGAATATGAACAACAAAGTAAGGGAAATGACAAGTGGCAAAAAGGTGCTGCAAAAACAAAAACAGGCGAAGGAGGTCTGCATCAACCTGAGGGGTAATGAGGGCAAGGGGTAAATGATCAATTACCTGATAAACATAATGGGTATCCACAATTAAATTAAAGGGACAATCAGCAAAAAATTGAAAGGCCAAAATAACAGCAGCTAATTCTGAGGGCAAAGGGGGATGGTAAAAAAACAATCTTTTAAATCTAACACACAAAGTTAATCGGTTTGAGGAATTAAATTTGGATTTGGCAAGCCAAATTGCAAGGGCCCCATAGGTTGGATGCGTTTATTTATTTCCCTTAAATCATGTAACAGCCGCCAAGCACCCAATTTTTTCTTAATAACAAACACCGGGGTGTTCCAGGGACTAGTGAAGCAGGAGAGTGAGTTCTCGAGTGGGGCAGTCATGCTGAGCCTTATGCAGCAAATATTGTAGCTCATTGCGGTGTTGCACTTGCAAAGCAGAGAGGGAGCTTCCCATACTTACCACAATGAAAAATACTCACCGGGATCCACGAAGCGGATGAGTGACGCGTCTGAAACCCTTGCCGGGCGAGGTGAGTGCTGAGGGCCCCACGTTTGGGCGCCAGTTGTGGCGGTTCAGTGATGAGACAGAACACAGCTTTATGCAAGCAAGCAGGCTGGTCAGCGGAGATGGGCTGTTCTGCCCCCCCGCCTTCCACCTTCTCCTTTTATTATATTTCTCCCCCTAAGCATTACACACTGCTACCCAAAGGAATGTATGACGTTGATTAATATACTTAGTTACCATCCTTTATCTACTACAATCCTGGTTCTCAGGCCTTGAGCCCAGGCTAAGAAAGCCTCCCACAGTTGCTGTCCAAACAATCAAGTTCTCATGGTTCATATCTAGCCCTTGTCCTTGGATAGAGCAATGTGTGCATTGCTTCTACGAAACAGTCAGGGTGTGCCCTGCCTGCTTCCAGGTGGAATAGCTAAACATGACCTCTTCATTCCCCCACTGCCTCTGGCTGGGCCGGCACCCCGGGAAAACCCAAGACCCTTTGGCTCAGGGTGCTGGCCAGGAGGAGCCGAGCCCTACATGTGCCAAAGCCCCCACTGGCACAGGGAAGCCTCTTCGCCCCTCAGCTAAGCTCTGGAGTGGCAGGGAGGAAACAATTTGCAGCCTGTTTGGGCCCCGACCCTGCAGGCTCCACAGCAGCCCCGCAGTAAGGGGCTTTTAGCACCCTCTTCACCTGCCCCCCCTGCCCTGGGTCCTGCCCCCAGGGAACGCGGGGCTGCTCTGTCCCCTAGGCACCCTCCCCTGCTGAGCCACCTCTCTGTCTGGGTTCGCTGAAGCCCCTGCAGACAGGTTCCCTGGCCCCTGGTGCACAATCATCCTTCGAGCTTAACCCCTTCCTACCCGTGTTGTAGGCAAGGGGCAGGAGGTGGCTGGGTTATGTTGTTGGCCAGCAGCAGCCTGGAGGTGTTAGCTGCCTTTCAACACCGTGCAGGCAGGAAGAGACAAGATGCTTAGAGCCACAGGGGGTGGGGGTGGAGGGAGAGATGAGCTCTGCAAAGACATGGGCCATCCCTTCCACCCTCCTCCTCCCCTGCGACTGGAAGCAGCTCCCGTCCCTTCCCTCCTGCGCACTGCCAAAAGGCTGCTGTTGCTGGCCACATTCTGGTGTGAACCCTGGCAGAAATTTGGGGTGGGAGGGCATGTGACCCTGTGTGCTCCACACATGTTGCCTCTGGAAGATGCAGCACCGGGTACCAGGAGAAGTGGGTCTGTCCGGGGGGGCCCAGCCAGGTATGGAGGCATTGGTCGATTAGCCACTGGGCCAACAGGGTCTGTGCCCAGGGACCCTGGTAAATTGGGGGGCCCCGGAAAAACGGACTCCACCCCAACCCACTTTGCCCACCCGGTGCTCCTGCTGGGGAGTGGGGTTGGGTACAGCGGCTTCCCGCACTCCCCATCAAGGTCGGAGCATGACAAGCCCCCACACCCCAACCCTGCTCCCTGGCTGGAGCGCTGGGCAGACAGAGCAGGGCAAGCCCCTGCGCCCAACCCAACTCCCTGGCTGGAGCACTAGACGGGCAGAGTGGGGCAAGCCCCTGCGACTCAACCCTGCTCCCCTGCTGAAGCACCAGGTGGATGGAGCGGGGCAAGCCTCTGAGCCTCAACCCCCATTTCCCCAGCAGGAGGGGGAGCAGGAGGACTGCAGGCAGAAGGCGTGGGGGGGCACCCGCTTGCTCTGGCCCAGGGGCCCCATAAAACCCTAATCTGCCCCTTCATGGAGGGCAGAGAGAGCCAGGCAGGGAGGGTCAATTCGGTCGGTCATCCCTCCTCTGTGAGAGAGGTGTAGGGGAGTATGTGTGTGTCACCTTCCTCATGTGAACCCTAAAGCCTTAAAGATAAGAAGGCAAATAAAAAGAATCCAGCTACGCAGCATTTCTTTTTAACAGGGGCTCAGTCAACTTGATGTTAATTTGAACGTTTGTAGTGCATAGTTCTGACTGATTGCAGCTGAACTCTCTTGAATACGAGTAATTTTACTGGGTATCCTGTATTCAGCATAGGGAAATATGGTCACCCTATATAGTGAACAAATATGGTAAGTTCTGATACTTCAAGAAAGTCTTAGGTAGGACAAGAAGGAAAGATAGGAAGCACCGGAAGGGAAGTCTATGGGAGAAAGAGGGGTGTGAGCAGGGATGGAAGTGGGAGTGGGGATGCCCTTCCATGTGTAAGGAGGAGAATGACAAAGTCATGAAAGTGAAAGCAAGAAGAGGAGACAAAGGGGGCAACAGAACAGTCAAAGGTGATGAGGGAGGAGACGTGGGCAGGAGCAGAGCTGTGAGGAGCCTTAAAAGTAAGGACAGGGAGTTTGAACTTTGTGTGGAACAGAGAGTTGAGGAGAACAGAGTGATGTGTCTGAGGAGAAGCAGGGGAAGCTTGTTTTAGGTGCTGTATCTTGAATGGGCTGAAGAAAGGGAAGTCAGGGAGCTCAAGCAGGAGGAGGTTACAGTAGTTCAACCAAGAGAAATCCGTAGCGTGAAGCAGGGTCTGGGTTTTGAAATGTTATAGAGAAAGAAATGGAAAAATTTGGTGAGAGCCTGTGTGTGAGCAGAGAAGAGAGGGAAAGGAGGAGTCAGAAAGAAATCTAAGGTTGTGAGCTAAGCTCATTCCTGGTTTTAAAATACAGATATAATGTAGACAATGGATGTCACCCCACATGCAATGCAAAGTACCTTTTCTGTTGTTTTTCTTTCTCCAAAACTTCAAGATGATCTTGACATTGATACTAGACATTCTATTCCTACTGGCAATAAACAGAAAGGGCCACAAAAATAATGACTATTGTAATTCTTCCAAGCTGGGCTACCTTGATACTTCGTTGGGTGTACTAGAGAACGAACGTTAATTATTATCTCTCCTCAAGCAGGATCAATAAATGTAAAACTCTAAAATGTAAACTTCACCTTTCATTTTGTGTTACACGCCTACATAAACCCATGCAAAAGCTAATCATAGTTAACATATTAACACGGAGCTGGGGTAGTGGCTGCATGGAAAGTTTTCCTCTGATTTTCAGTCACTCTTGATTTTAGTGAGTGAGCAGCATTAGTGAGTCACAAGTGTGGGAGTTACTAGGAGGGGTTGTACAGTCCCTGGGAAGTGGTGAGGCTATAGACAAGGTAAAGCTTCCTCAGCTATATCCCTGGGCTAAAACGATACCAAGATAACACACTGATTCGCCTCTCACATTAATTTTAGACTGACTTCAGTGGATTAACTTTTGATTTACACCAGTGCAAGTGAGAGGAGAATCAGAATCCAGCTGGGAGCCATATACTCCACTACTTTGTAATACAGTATTGAGTAATCACAGAGATGCACAATCTCCCTTCGATATACCCATGCAGCTTCTCTTGAAGTCAATGGGAGACATGCATACATATCTACCAGCGGAGCTGGGCCCATCAGTTCATGAACATGGCAACGCTGAAGTAGTAGGAGTATTCTATACCGCATAGGTGGGCCCAAGCCCTAGCATAGAGAAAGGGCTCAAACCTGGAATTCAGGTTTGGATGCAGAATTCCTCCAAAGTGCAGGAATGTTCAGATCCAGCTGTTTGGTTTGTCCCCTCCAACACAATATAATGTTATGGTGCATTGTGTCTTTCATACTAACTGTGTTGCATAATCCTGGACAGGAGGATATTGTGCAGGATGTCATTAAGCCACCTTTGCGCCACTTCTGATCATGGAAATGAACTGGAGTTCAGCCAAACAGAACAATGCCCCAGCCCAGCCCTGCCCTTTTGACATGGGAAATACATGGGTCTTGCACTGGCAGCTGGGATGGGGGCTACATAGGGGCCAGTAAGGCAGCTTTATGCCATCCCAGTTTTCCCTTTCACTATAGTCCCCAGATCTGCCACCTTTAGAACAGCTTTGCCCTGCTGGAGTGGGATAAAGCTGCCCTGAAGTGGGGAAAGATCTGGGCCAGAGAGCGGATGTGGTGGAAAAGTACACAAAGGCTGTTCCAGGTATCAGGACCTGCAGAGCAGAAGGAAAGGACAGAGAGAAGGCTAGTGTTAAATTAGTGGCAGGAAGGGGCAGGCTTCTAATTTTTGACAAACATTGCAATGAGTTTAAATGTAAGAAATCCACTCTGGTTTCCCCATTTGACGGGTGCTCCCTTCTCTCCTTGCCACTGCCTTAGGGAAATGACAGCAAGTGGACCTAGCGCAGCAAGGAGAGGATTCGTTGGAAAGAGGATGGTCCTGGATCCCTTAGACCAGCTTCTACAAGAATTAAAAAGAGCCATAAAGGCAAATGTGATGCTGAGTGATGGGGCAGTCCTGCTGTGCAAATTCTTCAGCCTACCTCTGAACACTTAACCCTTCGATGTCAATGATCAGGATTTTCCAAACACAAGGCATCAACATAAAATACATAGTTAATGCCTGCAAAGGCTCTGGATCCTCACTCCAAAATGCTAAGGAAACCCAAACTTTTTATTTTCCATTTTCAGTCCTTTCGAGAAACTCATTGCCTTGCACTGTAAGTCTAAGGGCCAAGTTCCGCCATCTTTACTCAGAGTGAATATTACCTTACTAAGCAAATAATTCCATGGGTTCAGGGACAATTTATAGAATAAAATACTATTCAGTGTGAGTAAGGGAGGCAGAGTCAGGCCCTAAATGAGTGAATAGAATCAATGTATCTGTAAGTAAATTAGGAAACTGCACCTATGGTGTAATGGAATCTGATGATATTTTTAGCTGATTTTGTGGCAATAGTCATTTATTATTGCACCTTGCCCATATTCAGACCTGATTCAGGAAGGAACTTAAACATGGGGGGGATGGATAGCTCAGTGGTTTGAGCTTTGGCCTGCTAAACCCAGGGTTGTGAGTTCAATCCTTGAGGGGGGCCATTTAGGGATCTGGGGCAAAAATTGGGGATTGGTCCTGCTTTGAGCAGGGGGTTGGACTAGATGACCTCCTGAGGTCCTTCCAACCCTGATATTCTATGGACTTAAGTCCATCGCTATTCAGCAAAGCTTGTAAGCACATACCTCAGTCCCATTGACTACACTGAATAATAATAATAATAATCACTGCAGGTTTCACTTCAGTCCTGAGACTGAGGATTGATATGAATTAGTTGCAGCCTTCAGGATAAGTTTCCAGTGCAGCCAAATCAGCTAAGCAAAGCTGACTGCCCCCTTTTAGGGCTGACAACACTAGAAATAAAGGAAGATTTTATCAAATGCACACCATTCTTTTTTACCACTTTGCCTTATATGGATATTTTTGAGGATCACCAGGTGTGTTATTTGCTCATTTGCCTCCCTTGTTTCATAATGGCAGCTATCAGACATGTCCAAGAGGTGAATATAGCTGGACTGCTTGGTAATAGTGACCATACTATAATTAAATTTAAC